GGAACGGGCTTGAGGTCCGTATTGTCGTACTCTCCCGAGACACACTTTGTGATCATCACGTATGCCTGCGTGTTCCTGTTGAAGGTGAGCTGCAGCCTTCCCAGTGGCCATTGCGCATTGTTCTGACCGACTTTGTTCCTGATCTGCAGCTTGCTCGGCCCACATTCAGCGCTTACGTTGACGAAGAGGAGGTGCTTGGGCTGGTCGGAGAGGGTGCCAATCTTCTCGAGGCAGTGGCTCTAAGCCCGACGCATACTCCTGCCTTGTACTCGGGTTTCCTTAGGACTCTGCTGCAGACGAGACGAGAGGCGTCAGCGACGAATCGAAGCAGCGGCACGACGCCATACAATCAGTCTCGCGCTAACTCTGCAGAAGCAGAGGCTAATGGCGGGGAAGTGGATGGTGCTGGTGCTAACCCATCCCGACGCCCATCGCTCGGTGGCGCTGTCGCCAGAGCCTTGGAAGGCAAAGCGGATGATGGGCCTTCTTCTTCGAATGCCTTCTCCAACATGGGTGGCCAGGGCTCCGCTAGCGGCTTCGCCACACCGTCAATGAATATCACGCCAGCTCAGAAGACGGCGCTGTCCGGATTGGATCCTGCGGTCAGTTCAATACGCCAGACGTTTGTTTGCTGTCCTCCATCGCTGACTTGGCACGCCCATTTGCACTGATCCCGTAGACGCTTGGTGGTATTGACATGTCCAACCCGCATTTGGATCAGCTCAACCTCGACGACTCGTTTTGGTCTCAATTACTGCCTCCTGGGTTTGGCGGCACGCTGAGTCTAGACGGCACGGCTGGCTTGGAGGGTCCGATGGGCTCTAGCACTGTCGGATCAGGTGGCAGCAATGGGCAATCGTTGCCGGCGTTCGGAAGCAGTGCTCAAGGGCATGCTAGTGGAATCATTGGTCTAACACCTAGCCAGACCCGCAGCAATTCACCGCATCCTTCGTCCAACTTCACCAATGTGCAATTTGACTTGCCGCCGAGCTCCGTTCCATAGGAGTTCACGCTTTTGCTATGCAGGAACACGGGCTGCACTTGCACCGCTAAAAATACGCTTGCTCAGTCGCGACCAAGACTCTTGCGCGCACAACTTACTCTAATTCGAAAGCACTGCCATACCGTCTGCGGACGCATTACCTTGCCGTGTTCAATAATTTGCATTTGCTTGTACAGACAGCAGGCATGAGCTGCGTGAATCGTGAATCCAATCGGCAATGTCGTGAGTCTCTGTGATTAGGGCAAGGAGAAGATGATAAAGCAAAGACGCAAGAGGATCCTTAGTGCGATTCGCCCTTTGATGATTCTGCCCACGCCTTGGTGCCCATCTCTGTGACTCTGCTGATCAGTCGAGCCCTATCGGAAGATTGAAGACGCGATCGTGAGCGAAGGCGGAGCGCGGTCAGTCAGAAGAAAAAATGGTTATGGGGCGCTCGACACGGCCTCGCGACGCACCAAGCAAAGAGCTCTTCGTCACCGCTGACGATTGGACTACCTCCAAGCGATTCCTGAATGTTTGTTTGAGGGAGCAAAGGATTCAGCGCAACATCACGAGCAAGAGTGGCCAGCTCCCTTCCCGCATCGGCACATGCGCGATTTCGCGTGACACTTTCCGAACGCACCATTGTCATGCCGAGGTCGTCCATGAGCAATCTGAATTTTTCAATATCCGCCTTGTCCGTCTCTTTGCTGGATAAGACCTGCACAATAGGCACTTCCGAGCTCATGAATATCTTGCTCTTGGCCTCGTAACAAGCATCGACAAAAGTGATGAATCTTCTAGCCAAATCTCGTTGATGTATGCTCATCTGGGGTATATTGTCGATGAACAGTGTGTCGAAGCTTTTGCAAATCTCTAGATAATCTGCTGCGCTCTTTGGCGTGCCGCAAAGATCCATAAAGTCAAATCTCGCTGCTTTGGTCGTGCTTTGCGGCACTGCCAATTTGCGTCCCCACACGCTCAATTGCCGACCATCCATGACGGGGTCGGAAGGATCACCACTTGTTGTCGCCTTCCACAACTTGTCCATCTCCCGCTTGGTCTCGTCGTTGAGCGGATGAAAGTACACCTTGGACAAGGCCCTCCTTTGCTTCCTGTAGTCGATCCCTGAATTGAGGTCCACTACTCGGAACTGGGACTTGAGCAGCTCTATGCATGGGATGAAGGAAGACCGCTGAATGCCGTTCTTGTACAGATCATTTGGATGTCGACTTTGCAAGCACGGCCGTCAGCTTCTCAGCATATCTTTGCAACGGATTGCAAGCATCTACGACTCACTTGGACGTCATGACAAAAACCACGCCGTGGTAGACCATGTGCTCGAGCAGTCTTCGGAGGATCATAGCGTCTGCGATGTCCGTCACCTGAAAGTGAAGCCATCCATGTGAGCACGCGCCTCCGAAGCTCCTTTGTGGGGAGCCATCTCTCACCTGAAACTCATCGAAGCAGACTACATCGTGTTCTTTGGCCAAGGCTCTAGCCACGGGCGGTATGGGATCCACCTCTTCCCCAGCAGCAGCCGCCTTTACAGCAGCGCTAGCAGCTCCAGCAGGATTGGTAGACGAGACGACTTCGCCAGAAGTGATGGCTTTAGCTGCGCTCATGACCATCCCGCTAGGTTTGTGAACGCTAGATTTGAAAGCGTGCATACGCTTGTGGGCTTCTACCATGAAGGCGTGAAAGTGAATGCGCTGAGCTGTTGGAGGCAGCGTGGCGTGCAGCATATCCATCAGCATGCTGTGCGCAGCGCAACAAGACCGTGCAAAGTGGTGTCAGTCTTCTGGGATACGACACTGTAGCGTTAACGCTTATCACCTGCCCGCGATGACGACTCACGACTTGCCCGTCCCAACATCTCCGTACAAGTACAGCCCCTTGGGCACATCCGGTGAGATGGGCAGCGAGTCGTGCTGATCTTTCTTCTGACTAAACCAGCGTGTCAGCTGCATTTCCGAAGGTAAGGATCAGCATGCATCTCAAGTGAAGCCAGCCTCTCCGTCCTTCACACCCACCAAGCCGGCAACCGCTTTCTTGATCTCTGGTTGCACCTGCTGCGTGTAGGACTGCAGCTCGTCGTACATTTGTTGTAAGGGTCCTTCCACTATTCTCCTTTGATGCGCATCTTCTCTCAGCAGCCCTTTCTCCACCCTCTCGTCGTACAGCCGCTTGGGCCCGGGTCTGTCGGGAGCGGATGTCGAGCTTGCAGCACTCCCAGACGCGGCAGTGAGTGTGGATGCGAAGCTTTTGCGATGCTGCGAGGTCGACGCTGATGATGTTGTCCTGAGGGGCAAAGAGGTGTTGTGTAGTTGCGCCGCGCTGCTTCGCAATCGCTTGTCGATAAAGCCCAAAGGCTTGTGATGGGCGGAATGCGATGCTCTTCGAGAAGCTGCGGACCTCTCTGTCCATGAAGACGCTGAAGTTGCCAGCCTGCTGCTTGCCGCTAAAGCTTCCGGTGCGGCACATCGAAGAGCAGGCCTTAGACCGCTCCTGCTGCTCGTTCGCACTGAGGACATGGCGCCAGAGGGTCGCCTAAGAATGTCGTATCGCCAGAGGCCGGGTGTGAATGCGCTCGAATCGAAGGGCAGCTCAGCGCGTCCTGAGGCAAGCTCGACTGCTCTTCTCTATAGACGACGCTGACCAGATGGGATGCCGTGTCA